TCTACTTCACAGCATAACCCCGGTACTTTAGTATACCTCTGCCTTTTGTTCAGCCTTTTTACCAAACTCCCAATCCAGATAGCCTATGTAGGACTATGACCAGTTCATCAGTATATCAGGTCGGCCTGATATTCTTTTCCTCAAGTTCATTTTGGCAGCCTGGTTGGTGGTACCTCTGAGCCTTCCAACCCAGAGGTTCTTGCCTGTCTAGCTATTATGACTAGGTACTATAACCTTGGTATCTATTTCTCCAGGCTAGCCTTTACAGTAAAGCCATCGAAGATCCAGCTACCTCTCTATTTAGGTCTTCCCAAATGGACTTCTTGTTACCTAATTTCAATGAATTTATACAGCCACAAGGACTTATCTAGTGTTTGCACCACCTGATATGTTAGTTTGCATTTCTCTGTGTAATGCCATATTTACACAGATGCCCTATAACCTGTCAGTCATGCCGGTATGATTGCCATTACAGATATCCTAATCCAATTATTAGTAACAGTTGCTATAATATGAATATTATATAGGTGATTATCTAAATTTTCATTATTGATGGAATTTAAACACCCAACCTACCATTTGGAGAGGTTGACAACCTGACTACTTCATTAGGTCGCCACACCCCTTTTTCTAAAATTTTATTTTAATTAAATAATAAATATATCTTAATAATATTATATATTATTAAAATTTATATTAGATCAAAATTTAAATGTTATAGAGTTTTATTAAAGTTAAGATAGGAGTTTATGTTAAGGTAAAAATAAATGTCAGTGAGTAGTAATGTAGTAGAATCACTATCAGCAAGATTATAATTATAGTTACACTTTCTAAGTGTATAGTATATGAAAAATCTCTCTAAATATATACTTTCTCTTGGTTCTAAATAATATAATAATTATAAATTTTAATCTCTCTAAGTGCACACCTTCTCTAAGTGCATATTTTGCTTTTTTTTATTATAGTTTCAAGGTAAGTGCACTTAGAGGAATGTAACTATATTTTAATCTGACTTAGATATTAATTTGATATACAACATTATACTTATATTAAGTGCTTTAAATTAAAACCTAGAACTAAATATATAATACTTATATATTTAGTTTTAGATTTTTAATTTATAGTACTTAATATTCTTAATTTACTTTTATATATCTTCATCTTGTTCAAACTGAGTAAGAAGTTATTAAATATGTTTTTGTTTGTATTTTGATTTAAAATACTTAATAATATCTACATCTATTAGTTGAAGATATATAGTAATATTATATAAAAGAAAATAAAGCTTAATATTAGTTAACTGGAGGCCAGTAAAATCAGAAATTGTATAGAAATAACTTTGACTACTATGAGCTTGATTCTAATTATTTTATAAAGTAGACAATTTTATATTACTAATTCTAGATACAGATATTTTCAATAATTCAGTTTCTTCTTCATAACTATTATTATTAGAATTAGAAGTTGGTAAAATACTATTTAGATCATAATAGCAAAATATATTATTAACTAAAATTAAAACATTTCTATTTTGAAAATAAAATTGATAATCTAGTATTTTTAACTATTTACCAAAAAGATTATATTACATCTATGCTTGAGAATTGGCTTTGTATGTAACTAGTAAAGTGTTATGATTAATAAGTGCAAGTGAATGAGATTGAATTGAGAATCTGATTACAAGTAGTTTTAGTTTTTGTATTCTAATTACATTACATATTAGTATAATAAAAATTCTTTTTTATTCTAATAATTTAGAATAATAAAGTTATAAAAATTAATTTCTTGATTTTCAGAATATAAAGTTTTAAAAATAATTCAAATCTGTTTTTTATTTCTGTATTTTAAATTACAAAAATTTTTTTTTTTTAAAAAAAAAAATTATCTATTTATATATATATATAAATACATAGCATAATTTTTTTTTTAAAAAAAAAAATATATATATATATATAAAGACATTGTTTTTAAAAAAAATAATTAACCTGAATAAATAAACTAATTATATTTTTTTTTTTTTGGTGTTAAGGTGAGGCCTTGCTCATATCTTTATTAGTAATTTTAGTTGTACATATTAATAATAAACTAATTATATAAATTTAATAAGTTACTATATTATATTTAAAATAAGTATTACTTTTGTCTAATCTGAATATGATTTTGATGCAAATATTTGGTTAAGTGTTATTCTAAAAAAGAACCTAGTCTTATCTGCATTAAATATATTATCAAGAATATACTCTTGAATAATATTGTGTAATGAATTTCATTGGTTGAATAAATCTTCTAAAGAAACAGAACCAACTTCACTATGTATAAGATAATTTTGTAAGTTATTTCTTTTTTTAAACCAATGAATCTAATCATTAGAAATTTAAACGAATCTGTCATTATATTCAAATTTTGTATAAAAAACTTGATTTTCTCTTTGATAATTAATTCAAATAAAAATATTCTATTACTAGTAATCTGTTCAATTCATAATTGCATTGCTTAATTCAATAACAGATATTTAACTTGTTTATAATAATAAATTTTAACACTATCTGTATTATCAATTAATACCAAATATTTTTTTTTCTTTTAATATTTTGAATATTGTAGAATATTCAAGATTAACTTGAAAGGTTTCTTGAAAGTATTCTGCAATCTTTCTATGTGAACAGTTAGGATTTTTGTTATTATAGACACAAATATCATATTTTAACTTGTCATTAATATCCATTCTTGTTTTTTTAGAAAACATCTCTAAAAACATTTTGAGTAATATTAAAAAAAAAAATCATTTAAATACATTTTTAGAAAGTGATGATATCAAGAGAAAAGGTATTTTTATTATAAAAAAAAATGTAATACGAACTTATATGATTATAGAAGGGTTGTGATTATATAGGAGGTGATTATAGAGAGGATGACTGTACTAATTTCCATCCAGAGTTTCTATTGGCTGGGATTATTCGTTTAAAATGTGACATCTCGGAAGTAATGTTTTTTGTTAATACGCAAAAGGTGATAAATGTGACTTTACAAAAAAAGCCATTGTTGTTTTGATTGTCACGTTACACCTGATCCTGCTTTCTGATATATGTACCAATACGTAAATTTGTTAATGATCTTTCGTGTATATACTTACCCTTAAGAACCGCAGTACACATAGACTGTATATATACAAAAAAAAAATGTCTTCTTCCCTTGTTAATGAAACCCAAAGGGGAATCTACCCTCCGCCAAGATTTTGGCGTTTGGATCCTGTTTATCGAACAAACGTAAAAATATTTATACGATATATATTAAATTTTAAGATGATTCAGTTTACGGAAGGTTAATATTTCTGTGTCAAGTGCTTTATTAATTACTGAAAGATTTTAATAGATTTCATATTTATAGAATTCAGAACCGTTCAAGGCTTTTTTTTTAGAAATCATCCAGTTAAAAATGTTGAAATAATTGCGCCAATAACCGGTATTGAGATTATAGGGAATAGCATTATTAAATATAGACGTAAGATAAACTTGTGAATATTCTGTCTTATTTTTCACATATATACTAACGTTGCTTATAAGCAATTATTATTCAAGTTGAAGATGGATCAGCTAGAATCGATTGTGTAAATTTTGGAGAAGATGGAAAATATAATAAGTATGTAAGGAATCCAAAGTTTGACTTTGGAACACTTGTAAAGGTTATTGGAAGAATAAATGAGTATAATGGAAAAAGAGAAATTATTTTTAACACGGGGAACATATGTAATTATAATATATATTTAAGGTAATTATTTTTTTTATATATCAAGTTTGATCTATTTATATTTTTTATGTTTATCTTTTAGGGGTCATAAAGGATCCTAACGAGGAGTTACTTCGGTGGTTAGAAATTCTTAAACTAGTGGAAAATGTTTATTCTAAACCGTTTATCCTGCCCAACAATGCGAATTTAACTGATGATATCAGTGACAAAGAGGTATTTTGTAAAAAAAAAAAACAATTTTTTGATACATTTATATATTTACAAATATCTTTTTTTTGTTTATAAAATATTTGGATAGGAGACGGATGAAGACAATGCTGAATTTATTGATGTTAGTGATAAAGAGGTATTTTGCAAAAAAAAAATGGATTTCTTTGCAACATAGATATTTCCAAGTTAATACATACTTTATAAATATTCGAATAGGAGACGGATGAAGACAATGCGGAATTGAATAATAATGTTAGAGATAACCTGTTATTTTGTAAAAAAAAAAAAAAAAAAGCGGGTTTCTTTGGCACATATTTATTTACCTATAAATATTCGAATAGGAAGCACTACACATGATGTCGACATCAGAGGAAAGATTGGATGAAGACAATGCAGACTTGATTAATGATGTCAGCAATAAAGATATATTTTTGCAGAGCCATCGGATTTTACAGCATCTAAAATAGCACAAGCGATATCATGACAACCATAACCAAGTTTGATTAAAATTGGATTATTTTAATTCTATGCGTTTATAGAATAAAATAATTCAATTTTAAACGGATTTGATTATGTGGTTGTCACGATGTCACTAGTGCTATTTTATATGCTACTAAAATTCGATGGCCCCGGTGTTTTGTAAAGAAAAGGGTTGTTTTTAACACACCTATATATGTATAAATATTCAAATAGGATGCACCGCTTATAATGTCGATATTAGAGAAAAAATCCGATGAAAATATGCCAATATCAAGTTCTTTAATTTTTAAGAGAATGAAAATTTCGGAAGACTCATCTTCGCAAATAACAGAAGATATGTTTATTAATTCAATTACGCGATATATTTACAAAAATCATTTATATCAATTTAGTCCAGTAAGAGTATGTTTGTCTACTGAATTAAATGATCTTGCTAAGAAAGTCATCCCGGTAAGTATGATCTTATGAAATTATGTACATTCATTGTACTTATACTACGTTTAACTAAATATTCTTTTTAACATTTGATATTTTTAGAACCTAAGCACCAAACCTAAAAGTCGAGCTGTGTACACATTGTTTACTGATGCTTTGGAAGAGTTGGTGCGTGAAGGATTTTTGATTCGCGTGGATGCAATATCTTATTTTGTTCATTCACAATTCGAAAATATGGTAAAAAATTGGAAAAATATATGAATTAAAATATGCATAAAGATTGAACTTGAATTGCTTATACATAGTGTTTGAGTCGATAAAATTAATCGAATCGATAATTTTAATTAAACTTTTCATTATGCTATATGCTTCTCCACGTTTAATGCATCTGCACTATTTTATTCAATTTTCAATGATTTAAAATTATGTGAAGTTTGAAGATCATTAAAAAAAGTAATCACTAATTTCCGATTACTGTTTTCCGATTTATTTATCATTTTTTTTAACTTTTAGAATTGACAAAATTTGCGCATTTATCTTTGTAAAAATTTGATCAAATTGACAATTTTTTCAAACTTTTTTTGCATAAATTAATTTAAACTAAGATTAGAATCATTTTTTACTTAAAATACAAAAGTCGTTGTATTAATAAAATTTTGCAGTATAGCTCTTTAAGATTTACAATTTGAAGTTCTTTTTTTATATAATTTGTACAGCAAGTTTAGATTACATAGCAAATAAAAATGATACTAATAAAATTTTTTAAAAACGTATCAAATTTTATTAAATTTTAGGATATACAGTCTGATCTTTTTATAGTCACCTTTATAGTTACAAATTCACTATAATCATATTTATAAATTTACCAATCTTTTTTATATTATTTTTACTTTTATAAGCACAATTGCATTATAGTTGTTATCACAATTTTTTATCAACTACCTATATAAATTGATCTCTATATAGTCATATTATAATTACAAATATTTGAAACATTTGTTTTAATAAATGTATCTTAAAAAATAAAATTATTTTTATTATTTTTTATTAAATAAAATTTTTTTGATTGATTGATAATAGTTGCTTTATATAAAAATCAAAATATTATTTAAGTAAATTGATGTTTTTGTATTAAGTAAAATTGTTCAAAAAAATAAACTACATATATTATAGTTTTTTTTTTTTTTGTATTAAAGCTTCTACTTGGACACAAATCATCAACTCTTTCTGACAATCACTTGTACCAAAATTCTCTGATAATAAATAGGCAGTAACTAAATAATTTATTAAGTACACCCTCTCTGGCCTCCTAAATAAAATTGTTCACAATAACATTTTACATATAGGCAGCCTAGTTTTATATCTCTTGGACCTCTATACAGTGAGATATATTTATTAAACTGCAAAATACTTTTTCTAAAATTTTTTAATAATCTATTAAGCTAACCTTAGTTGTTATCTTAAACAAAAAGATAGAGCTCATTTAGAGCTTCATTTTGATATATTATACATCAATATTGGACCAATATTGAAGGTTTTATGCAAAAAACTTTTAAAACTCTTTTACAAAACTTCTGTTTCTTTTTTGCAAAAAATTTTTTCTTTTTTTGGGGGGGTCCTGTATCCTAGGATGCCCAGCATCTGCAGATCACTACCAAAAATCATACTATTAATTAAATTAACACAAATTTTAATTTTTTCTATTTTTGGCTCGATTAACTAATACAAAAATTTGTTCAACATCGATCTTTGCAACCACTTAGCCTGCACACTCTGTGCTGTTTATTTGTCACATTCTCTTATTTGTCACACCCTCTTACTCATCATACTCCTTATTTGTCACATCTTTTATTTGTTATACCCCTTATTTGTCATATCCTATATCTTTCAGATCCTTTTACATCCAAGATCTTTATTATTTACTTTGTTTTTAATTCTCAAGTCTTAAACTATGTCTACTTTAGTCTCTGAAGACCCTGACTCCTATGACATTGACTACTACTATGATAAATATAAAGATTGCCATGGTGTAGGAATGATCGAAGGAAAACCCCAATCTCTACGTATACTTCTAGCAGATGTTAATCCAATTATTTGCGATACAACAAAAAAGCATCATTACTTTAAAGTTCCTCAACAACCTATTATTGCCACATGCTTTTGTAGAACATATCATACTAGCTTTACTTCTCGATTCTACAGAATCCCATACTCTACTTCTTTTAGGCAACCTACAATTCAAACTACTTCTACTATTTCTATTGGTCATTTCAAAAAAATAGCTGATGAATTATCTCAATCATCTACTCTGAAACAACAACAATCTGATTCATCTTCTTCCAAATCCTGTATGCTATTTTCTAACTTCCAAATTGATCCTACACCTTCTGCAATTGTCGTACATTCTCAACACTATTATACATACCTCTTATGTGAAGTTAAAAATATTTCTTGTATAGCAACAGAACAATATAGTCATACTCCTGACTACACAATCTGTACAATTTTTAAACAAAATTAAATCCACAGACTCTGTGTTTCTCATCTACTAGATGGTGAACTTAAACTTTTAGTTCAAACCTCAGCTCTTACATTCCAACAACAAATAGTTACAGCTTCAATTAAATCTAAACTAATTAGTTTAAATACTCAAACCTCTTCTTCTACTTCCAAAAAACAAATTATTCCTCCTTTAATTCTTAAACAAAAACTAATCCTTACTTTTATCAAAATTCAACAGATGAAATCTAATGAAAAAATCCAACTTTTTAAATCCTTCTTATCCAAGAAAAACAAAAAACTTAATTCACAACAAAAACAAAAACAAAAAGTAAATCAACGAGATATTACTAATGACCTCAATTGGTTTAAAGAATATCCTGTAACTGAGTCTATGAAAAACAACACCAAACTAAATAATTCTACTGCACAACAACTATTTAATTTTATTAAACCATACCTTATTGACATCTATCTAGGAAAAATCACTCAAGCAGCTTCAGAAAATGCTCCTGAATCCAAACTTAATTACAAATATTTGGTTAAAACTTTAGCTGACAAAAGATCTAAATTCCTAACCAACCTTATCTATAAAGCAAATTCTTCAGTTGATAGATCAATTTCAATTCCATTTGAATTAATTCATTCTACCTTTATCTCTCTTTTGCAAGAATTTACTACAACTTTATTTACTCAACTAAACTACCCAAGAATCTTCACTTACTATGATTCTATTCCTCCATATACTACTACAAACCAAAAACAAGTAGCACTCAATTTAGCCTGTCTACATCTTATTCTTCATGACAAATACAAAACCATTTATGCTGAAAAATTCTATGAAGATCTTAAACTCTACCTTATCTACTTCAAACTTAACTATTTTCATTAGTAAAAATAATATTAACTAACCACTTTTCAAAATTCAAAATGATGACAAATTCAATATTAATATATCTCTTAATATTCCTAAAAAACAATTTCTTCAAACTTTTTAAATCCCCTCTTTAAAAAATCACTTATCTGAATTTAAAATCTGGTTTGAAAAATTCTTTAATATTTATAAACATCAATTCTATAACATTAACTAAGAAAAAATATTTAACTATATTAAATACCAAATCACCCTTAAACTTTCTAATGAATGCAAAGTACTTCTTCCTTCCGAATTCAAAATTACCTCTATAAACTTCTTACAAGAACGTTCTAGACTATACTTTAAGGCCGCTTTATATCATATTCACACTTGTATAGTTAAAAACTGTACAATATTACCTAATGATACAGAACACAATATTAAAAACTTATTTTCTTTCTTTTTCACTGACTCATATGACCACTTTCCAGCTCCAACCAACATCCAATCTAAACCAAAATGAACACACTCTACTTTTGATTTCTCTATATTTAATAAAGACCAATCTAATACTACTACTTTCAACAAACCTATACCTATTATCTTCTTCCATCAACTTGTTACTAAAACTGAAAAAGAATTCATCGAACTTAACAAAACTGAAACCAATTAAGCATAAGAAAGCTACTATTTCTACAACTTTTTTAAAGCTTATCTTAGTGCTGCTGCCACAAATGATCAAATTAACAACTACCATCCACATCAAATTATCGATAAAATTACTAGTAAACCTATTAGTACTGAGTACTTAGCTAGAGTACTCACATACTTCTATATCCTCAAAAATAACAATCTTCCTATTTCTGCAATTAGAGAATCTTATAATAAAAGATTTTATCCAGAAGCTTAACAAATTCTACATTCTAAGTTTAATATCAAATTCAATCCACCCAAAACTAAATCTGTCTTCTTTAATTTAAATACCTCTACCAAATCCAAAACTTCAATACCTAATAACAATATTAATTCATCTGCAGTTTTAGATGATGACATTTTAATGTCTGATTCAAATACCAATAACACAAACCAAAACAATGAACAGGACTTACAACCTGATCATATCACAACACTTTCACATAATCCTTTTCAATAAATTCTTCTATAGAATACATAAATGCAGTCATCGCTTCTAAGATAATGATGTCCTCTACAGCCAATAAACTATTCTTAGAAGAGAATGATGTAAGTGGATGGGTGGTTAAGTCTATTTACATGGAGGACCAGGTTAACAATAGCCAGACCCAACATACAGAACAGGCTATGGTATCCTGCGCAGCTATGCAAGCTGAGCATATAGTGAGCAAATCTACAGAAGAACTCTCAACTTCCTTGAACTTCATTTCATTATCTCATATCAAGAAAAAATCACAAGACTCATCTTACAATACACTATATAACCCAGACTCATGCTACAATGTGTGGTTAGCATGTTTGAACCTA